GCAGGGTCAGGCCAGAGAGCTCCACATCTTCCTGCTCTTCTAGAAGAGCCAAATATGATGATGCTAGCACACCCCAAGGGCAGCAAGATCTGTATCAAATCCTGGCCTCTGGCAGAGTAGGCCTTGCTCAGTGGCTTTGGCTGCAGGGATGTTTCACAGCTCAGTGCTATGGAAACCCACTGTGTATTTTCAGCTGGGCAGCACCTCCCATCTGCAGCTGCCTTTTAAAAATTAAAACAAAACCCCAAAACTAAAATAACCTCTTAATTTATTTTCATACACTTGTACAAAAATACAGCCCAGATCCTTGGAGACATACAGTTTGCGAATCACTGTGAGCTGAGGAGCTGGGCGTCTGTCTCCTCTTCCTAGCTGTTTTTAGAAATGGGCTAAATTCCTACAAACTGCACTAGATGCACCAAGAGGTGTGCAGATGATTTTATAGATCTGGGAAAGTTATTCCTACTAATAGCCACAATATTCTCCATGCAGGCAGGGTCATAAAAAGACATTGTCTCTGCAGCCCAACACAGGGGCAGATGCAGCCCTGGTGTGGATGGAGGGCTTGGGAAGGTGTTGCCCCCCACCAGCAAGCACGACATGGGAGCATGTCCATTCCACATGGCAGAGTCCTGGCCTTCAGCTGCGAAGGTGCATATGGGCTTGGTCTACGGCATATGGCCACAACTTCTCACCCTGGAGCTCGCTTAGAGCTACTTTAGCCTAGAGCTGAACATTTCCCCCCAAGGCATAGCAATTCATGGGATAAGTATCTGCTCCCAACATCTTCCTTGCCTTGTGATGGGTCTCTGAAGCCCCTGGGACACAAGACAAGCAGTTCTGTCCTTGTTGGGGATCCAGATGTATAACTGGGGGTAATGAGAGCTCTTAAAGCACATCATGAATAGCACTTTTTGGAGTCAGGCTTTGTGGCTCTGATCGGCTCCCAGCAGAGTCCTGTGGCTTCCTGTGACACTTGGTTTCTAAAAGGCTTTTATCCATTTCACAGCACTTTTACTCCATCTCAGGGATCTGCAAGCAGGAGTGGATGCACATGGTACTCAGTTCAGGCAGCTCCTAGAAGAAGGAATAAAGGGCTGCGTATATATCCAAGGACGATCTGTAAGGGGAAAGGGGTGGCAGAGTAGTACAGGGTCCAATGGCTCACCACAGCATGCTTGGCTTTCTCAGATGCATTTGGTTGAGGATCACAGGACAGTGCCTTCCATGGTGCTAATGAGGCAAATGTTGAGTGGTTCACACTTGGCTGAGCCACAGGTCTCGCAATGCTTCTGCCAGCAGATGTCGAGGTGTAGTTGTGTCTACCAAGCCTTCATGCCAACACCTAGTCTGCTGTTTGGCCAATAATATAAAATCTTTCCTGGTGAAACACATAGCTGATGCAGCTGTTCGTGGGATAGTAACTAACAAGAAAGGATTGCTGTTAAGAGACCTAAAGGTACAGTTAAACGCTCACAGATCAGCAAAATGCATCTCATGCAGCTGAATATATTGTTAGAGCAGTGACTGCACTAGATGCCACGGGCCAGCCCTGCAAAATGATGTTCACTGGGTGGAAGTTAACACAACTGTGAGTTAAAAGCCTTTGAGCATTTATGGTCCCATCTTTCCTTGTGATGAGGAAGACAGTAACATCATTGTCTGAGAGCTGAAATGCCTTAATTCAATTTTGGGTGTTAGCTGTGGCTCGTGCCATATAGGAGATCAGATCCAGCTGTCACCCTAGTCTGGGAACAAGCAGATACAGGTTGTAATTGATGGATCTGCTGGTTAATCAAAAATTACGTCCATCCATCCAGGGAAAAGCCCAGGAAATCAACCAGACAAGTCTCTTTCTGTTGCCATCCTTTTGGATACAGTGGCCTCTTTGAAGTATCACCACTCGTTACCTGCCACCTACCGTGGGAAAGTTAATACCGTTGTCACCCTGCTCACATCTAGAAACTTAGATATCACCACAGAGACCCTTAAGTGCCCGCTGTCTGGAGCTTGTCCAGAGGAACACGTCCACGAACTTTTCTACTCCACCTTAAAAAACCAAGATGTTTCTGTTTAAATCATCTTCATCCGGGAGAAAGCTACAGGGAAGAGGCATTTTGATAGACTGTCATGTTATGGGGAATGATGGGAGCAATTTGAGACTCATTGTGATTCATGTTCGAAACCTCTAAATTGAAAATCTCATGATTTGAAAAATCTCTGAATCCATGATTTGCTTATTGTCAGGCATTTTGAGGTCTCATAATGACCAAAGCTGTAAGATTACTGAAAGGATGGGGTCAGAGACATCTCCACTTATCTGTCACTTGTGGTATTAAAGGCTGCTGCTGATATAAGCGCCCTGTGAGAGCATCACAGCTCTTCAGAGCACGCTTGTTTGTGAGACGGCAAGAGGAAGAACACAGCGTTAAGTCAAAGACACCTCATTTTCAGTTTTCTGAATATCACACGCTTTCAGGATTGATCTTTATTTGGACTTTTAGCGGTTTGGCTTGCTTCCATCCTAAACTGAAGAAAGGGGAAGGAAGTACAAATTTTAGCGTGTTTTAGTGCAAAATCCATCCTTGAAGGAGTAGAAAACAAAGAGTGATGATAAGGAAAACCGAACAAGCAAAGAGTCTGGAAGGATCCCTTAAAGCTACAGCCTTCTCCTTCACCCCTGCAGGAAAAGGACCCACATCCTTCACTGTGCACTAAGGCAGAGCTTGGATGAACGCAGACTGGTGGGATGGGTCCTCAGAAACCATCACCACAGGTCCAGCAATGGTTCATGTGCCTGCCATGGCAAAATCTTCCAGAGGAACCGATAACCCAGTAGAAAACCCTCTTGTGCAGTTCAGCATGTTACTCCCTTGGGGACTGACTCCCACAGGATGCCCAGGCCTGCATGGAAGCTGAGGAACACATATGAAAAACGGGGCTTGGTTGCTTTTATATGCCATCCTCCGCGTAGTACGGCTCTCTGATTAAGGTTTTCCAACACTGTAATATAAACCTTGTTTCAGCTGGGACTTCGGTTGCTTTTGAGCTGGTGCTAAATCAAGCCATTACTAAATGCCTCAACAGGTTAGATTTATTCCACGACCCTGTGGCTCTTCGTGGCAACCTTGATGCATGGAAGATGGGAGATCACATGCCTTTGTAAAAGATTTGTTGACATACACGCCCACCAATCTTTCCCATTTCTGCACAACATGCAGTGATTGAAACCTGAGGGTTTGGAGATTGTTGGTTCAGACACAGCACCTAGTTGTAAACTCGAGGACTTTATGGAAAGAAGAAAAAAAAATTATTAAAACCACATGGTATCATGAAATATGCTTCAAAGATGCTTTTAAAATTAAAACTTAAGTTTTAAAGTTCTTAGTGTCACTTAAAATACTGCATTAGAAACAATCAAATGCAGCAGTAAATTACAGTGTTCATTGATGTGAATGCAGGATGTCAGATTTTTGTGCAATGCAGGGGTATAAGAGGCTGAATTGTATTTCTCTAATGCTTAAAATTCTGTCTGCTGAAAATACCATTTTGTTATTTTTAGTGCTGTAGTAGTGAGGTACTAAACTTGTGACACGTGATTTAAGAGGAAGTACAAGCTAAAATCAAACTTAGAATAAATAAATTATTTCTTGGTTATTTTCTGAGAAATTTCAAAATTAACTTCACAGAAACACAGTTTAGTAGCTTAGGAATACTTGAAATGGTGACAGGTAGTATTTTCAACACAATTTACTTGTTATTTATTTTTTTTTAGTATTTCAAATCAAATTATTCCTTGTTCATCCACTCACGTGTGTTTATATCCTTCCCTGGACCTGTCCCTCTGTTTCTACACCTGTTCTGCCAAAATGCAGTATAGAGCTGTCTAGAACTCACCTCACTTTCAGAGTGGCTGTTTACTTTAAATGAGTTTTTATGGTGGTAGTGATGTAACCCTACGCCTGAATTGTCAGCATAGTTTTCTTATTAACACACTGACAGGAACTATGCTTAAACTCTTTTCCCTCCTTCCTCTTGGCATTTGCTAAACCACCTTCTGTATTGGCTGCTCCTGTCCCGATTCCTCCACCACCTGGAAGGAAGAAAGGGCTGCTCCTTGCTCAGAGGATCCTTGGAGCAGCAGAGCGCCATAATGCACCAGGGACCTTCTAACCTGGAAAACACTGTACTAAGGGCATCCACTTCCCTGGCCAGTCCTGGCTTTGCTGTGTTAAACTCATGTTACAGCCCAGAGGTCAATGTCTATTCCCAAGATGACTTTGGGATAGCAGCCCTATTGCTATGAGAGCGCTAGAAACATGCACACCTTCTCTTTCACTTTCTCTCCATTCCTTCTTTTATGAGCACAGATGGGCTGATGCTGCTTAGACGGCACCCAGGACAGGTACCATGTTTCAGTGGCACATCATTGCCAGTAATCTCGTCAAGCTCTTAAATGGGGCTCTTCCAGCAATCTGCAATCAGGGCTTCAGAAAACTGTGGGCTAAGAAAGCTGGTCAGCAGACAGCTACTGTCCCTCACTTAAAAGCTGTCCATGCCTCACGTGGTTAGACCTTGAGTTAATATGGTTAGACCTTGCACAGGTCGCCCAGCTTGAGCAGCATAACAAGGTATGCCCCATCACTGATTCCCCATGGCCAACACACTCACCATGACCCAGGGCTGATCTGCACCAGAAGAAATGGCCACATGTATGTACAAAAGCCCTGGGATCAACTGTGTATGTTCCTTCTGTCACTTCCAGGGCTCCAAATGCTCAGAGAAGGAGAAAACTCTGCAGCTCCCTGGGTTTTTGTGCTGCTTCAAGTCAGGCTCCTCTCCTTGACATAATTTTCATGGGCTGTGAAAGTATCAGGGGACCCGGCAAGACCGCTGGAGCTCAGTGACTTTGACTAGAGCCAGAAAAAGCTTTACTTCAAGCAAAGTAACCACTCACAGCACAGATTCTGGAAAATTCAGTTCCATCCCAACAAATATTACAGCACACCAATAGATCTTCCTTTATTTATTTTTGCAAGATAGAGGCCAGTGATGTTAAAACTAAACTAGAATTCAATCAAACATAGTAAAATTCGTCATAAATCTCGACTATGTTTAGCAGTACACTTTAAAATTTCTACAAATGAGACTTCACAGCCTCTGCAAGACTCATTGCAGAATCTAGGCAGCCATCAAAGTTGGAACAGGTAAATCCATCGCCCCCACAAATCAGGAGAGGTTGAGTATGAAGAATCATTTGCCCCGGAAAATTTGGCATAGCTTTTATAACCTGAAAAACAAAAAGATGGAAAGAAAAGTATTTTATTTACCTGAATGTCACGCCAGGAAGGTCAGTATTCCTGACAAACATGCCTTCATACGAAGTACCTCTCCCATCCCAGATCGTAGGTCCAAGCATTAATGATCAAAGTACCATAGTAATATATTTATCTTCTGGAGTTAAATAATTAGAAAAGCTTTCTTGTCTGTGGAAATTTAGACACTTTACAGCCCCATGCTGTTTTATTCTCAGCCCATCTCAGCAGAAATGAATTGCCTGACCCTGGATAGATGAGGCATGGAGGTCTCTAAGCCAAGAGGTATGAAGATACATGATCTCACATCAGCAAAGGTGGGCTTGCAAAAAAAACCAGTTATCTAACTGTTCAACAAAGGAAAGGGAGCTTGCCATTTCCAAGAACATGCAACACGACTGGGTTGACCAGAAGACCTTCCTGGATGGGAAGTGAGGTGGACTTCAGAGTAACAACCGTCACGACGATCTGCTCATGCTTCATGCTGTTATGCAAGCATACACACAGCCTTGGGACAATTCACCTTCTCTCCAGCTCTGCCACGCTGGTCTCTGTTTTCATCCGAGTAGCACAATAGACACTGCTAGAGGTACAACCAGCACTTTCTCTGTAAGTAGCATGGGACAAATTCTGAATAAGGTTGCTTCAATAAATATTTAATGTCATTCTCAATGTATGCATTGTATTCATTTTAAATATAATTTTCCTGGCACTATAGTCTCAATTAAACTTGTATCTGTGGATTGGCAGCTCTTGAGCAGTTCTGTGTAACATTTCTAAAAGTGAATGGACTTTGCTTTGGCCAGTACCTATTAATTTGAAGCTACCTGAAACTTACGGGGAGAACAAGATCTCTTTTCAGTATTGTACTTTATGACAAACACCAATGCGTGTCAAACGACAGAGTAAAAGCACACAACTTTTGTGGTTCTACCACACTTGGCTGTGTCACACATTGTTCTCATCTGTTTCAAACCTACATACAAAGGCTGAGTGTCCATGTTGTACTAAATCAGTGCATCCAGAGCAGCACTGGTGAATTTCAGAATGGAGATGAGGCAGCAGCAGCATCAGCACTGGCCTAAAGGTAAACGTGAAGGCAAGGCAGGCTCAGGCAAAGGGGATAAAAAAGATAAGAAGATGCAGGACAGCTTCATGATGAAGTAATTGGAGCAGGAAGGTGGGAAGAAATAGTATGACAAAAGGAATGACAAAACAAGACCCATAAGGATGAAATGCTGAAAAAGAGCAAAAAATATCTAGAAAGCCAGAGAGAGAGAGAGAGGAAAAAAAAAGGGCAGAAGCACAGCAGTAGACCAGCAATAAACATCAAACCATAGAGCTAATAAAGCAGGATACAGAGAGCACAATTTTCTTTCAATCATTTCTTGACTTTCTGCCTTTGATCCAAAGACATGTTTTGGATTCAAACATCTTTTGGTCCAAAGGTATGTTTTGGATTCCTGTGCAGTAAACTGTTATTGTACTCCATCATGTGACTGTCAGCTTTGGTGAACGAGACCTAAAGTCCAAGGCATCCTGTTCAGTCCAGAGGATTTTCCCATTGATTCAAATGTACACTCAGCTAGCCACTGCCATGACATTATCTGCCATTTCCAAGCACGGATCAGCTACAATACACCCACATTCATGTTACTGGCTGCATCTTGTGTTACCGGCGTGTTAGCATCTCTTTAAAGGAGGCAATTATGCAAAATGAATTTGTAGCCAGTTGTGACCCATTTTCAAATATTCATCTTAACATAAGAGTCTAGCTATGTATGGTAAATCCAGCCAGAGACCATCTTTCTCAGACTAATTTTAGGTCAGTACTTAATTTATTCCTAAATTTTTCTTACAGCTCAAGGTCACTGAGCATAAACAATGAAGAAAAGTTTAGGAGAAAAAGGCCTTTTTGAGTGTCCTTCCTTCTTGTGCTTCTGTGTGCTCAGTGTAGTAAAGGCCCTCATTCTAGATCTAGTCACTGGAGAAAGGAATGATCCCGCCCCTTCTTCAAGTTCTTCTGAAGGTCTTGTCCAACATGAATTCCAAATTACCCTCAGCTATATGGCACAGCCTATTGGATCTCCATCCTCGAAGACTTCAAGACACAGCTAGACAAAGCCATGGTTGAGGTCACCTAGTGCTGGTGATAGTTCTGCTTTGAGCAACAGGTTGGACTAGAGACCTGAAGAGGTCTCTTCTGGAGTTCTCTGTGACAGGTCCGATTTCTACGATTCTGTGTTTTCCCAGTATCCCTTCTACATATAAAGTGACTCTGTCAAAGGGACATGATGGGTTGGGCAGCTGTTGGCTCTGAATGCTAACAGTGTCTTATCGTAATTAAAGCCAGGGATCCAGAATTGCAGCTGTGCTGCTAAGCAGTGTCAGTAGAAGTCTGGAAGTCCTAATCCCTCATCTGCCATGGATAATTGTAACATTTGCATTTTAATCCCAGGATTGCATTCAGCCATGTGAAGGACGTTACAGCCAGATTTAATTAACAAGTAGAATAAATCCCATTTAAAAGAGTCAGGGGAAAGATGCACCCATCTTACCAGTTCCCTTTGCTTCTGTGGCAACTACTGATTATAAATGAAAGTAAAGATAACTTTAAGAGAAAGAGGAAGCTCTGTTCCAGATATTTAATTTAGGCAGTGATTATTTTATAGGGTGGCAACAGAGATCTCTTTATTGAGATAACAGATCTGACCTGCACTGAGTTATTTGCAATCGAAGACATACTGACATTCATCCACTGAATTAAAGACTGGCAATAATTCCTCCTGTGACACAGCCATAAAACACAACCAGCTGCTGCTGGTGATTTTGCTTAGTAGCAGCGTGGTCGATAGCAGGCAACAGAGGCAGCAGAAGAAAGTGGGAAGAGCTGTAAATTGTACGGTGGTTTAAGAAAATGATAAAGCATCACCCAGCAATACGACGTCTGAATGTAATTTTTAAATGGAGGAAACAGGATGCACACCTAGTGATTTAGGAAGACAATAATTTTGAAGAAATTGTGGAAAGCAAGAGTTCATTACCACAGTCACTGTTCCAGCTGCCCCTAAAAGATGAAGCAATAGGTACAAGGTTATAATAAATCCTCTATGGCCATAATTTTGCCAGGATTCAAAAAGCATAGTTGTTTGGTAGAATGCAATTGAGACTTTTTTTTATTATTCAGTAGTAAGAAATTAACTGCCATTCTTGTCTTTTTCCTTTATCCTTGTTTTCATGGTGAGATAAATCAGAATGGGCCATATATGATGCATATGCTTATACGGCACCTTTGACACTATGCTAAAAGTGTGAGTAGTGCAAGACATATTAAGCCCCTTCCTTGCGCATATAAACAAAGTAGCTGAACTTGACAAATTTTATGATAGAGCTCTGTGATAGCAGCAGTATCCAGAGTGTATTAATTATGTTTAAAAATACTTCTTACTCTGTTTTGGGAGCCTCTTCCACTGCTGGTCAACCAAGTGTCTGGCTGTTGGAGATAGACCCAATTCTTCTCATTCCTACCACCTACAGCTCTTGTGCTCACAAGCAGTTTGAAGCAGAAAGGTAAACAGATAATGCAGAAAAGACCAGAAGTCACAATCAGAAAGGATGCCTTAACAGCGGCAACTATACAGAGATACTGTTACTAGCAAAATATCCCCTGAACTGATAAAAAGGAACATACAAAACATGCCATGATTTTTGTATGAGTCATCTGAAACATTAAAACCTGTGTTAAAGTTGCTTTTTTAGCACTGAGAACAAATACTATACACTGGGAGGTGATTTGCAAACTACCAATACTTTACTTGCAGAAAAACAAACTTTGTGCTAATGAGACCAGGCTCCTAAACTGGATGCAGATCAAGAGGTATGAGCAGACTTCACAACAGTCATGTACAGTAACTTTTCCAGACTTCATAAGATAAAAAAAAAATTAGGGTAAAATATTTAAGTAAATCACAGAATCACAGAATGGTAGGGGTCAGAAGGGACCTCTGTGGGTCATCTAGTCCAACCATCCTGCCAAAGCAGGGTCACCTACAGCAGGCTGCACAGGACCTTGTCCAGGCGGGTCTTGAATATCTCCAGAGAAGGAGACTCCACAACCTCCCTGGACAGCCTGTGCCAGTGCTCTGTCACCCTCAGAGGGAAGAAGTTCTTCCTCATGTTCAGATGGAACTTCCTATGCTTCAGTTTGTGCCCATTGCCCCTTGTCCTGTCGCTGGGCACCACTGAAAAGAGTTTGGCCCCATCCTCCTGACACCCACCTTGAGACATTTATAAACATTTATTAGGTCCCCTCTCAGCCTTCTCTTCTTCAGGCTGAACAAGCCCAGCTCCCTCAGCCTTTCGTCATAGGAGAGATGCTCCAGCCCCCTCATCATCCTCATAGCC